GTTCAAGTTGCAATAGGCTATAATTAATTTGTATTCTTCTTTACAAAGATTATTAATGTAATGACAGTAAACTCATTATTTAAATAAAGTCTCGCATTTAATGTCTATTTGTGATTAAAAAAAAAAAAACAATTAAAAAAATATTTATTAAATTTAATATTAATTCAAACTAAATTTTTTGTTAATTATTAAATAAAAATTTTAAATTTTAAATTTATTAAAAATACTTATTTAACAAATTATTAATTTATTTAAATAAATATTATAAAAAACATATAATGGTTTATAATAATATATATGTTTATATCAGCCCTCTGCATAGTCCATACCTAGGTATGAACCCATCCTCGAGGTGTAAGTTGGTACCTGGGTTAGAATAAGGGCAGGGTCGTTAGTTAATTAGTGATAGCTTAGACTGTTCATGTAATGGTAACTTGTAAATCATGTGATTTATGAAATAAAATTCACGCATGTATTGCACCTTAGCCCTTAAAATATATATATATATATATATATATATATGTTTATAAATATAAAAAAAGAATATAATTTTTTGATTATATTTTTGTTTTTATTGATTAATAAAAAAATTTATTTATTATTAGATATAAAAATAAATTAATCTAGTTTTAATTAATTAATTGTTTATATATTAGCAATAATTGTTTATATTTAATTTATTATTTGTTTTTTTTTTTAGTTTTTTTATTTTATATATAATTTTTTATTTTTTAAATAATTGTTTAATTAATAAATATGAGTTTTTATAATTTGGCAATATTAATTAGTATTTCTTTTCAATTTTTTCAATTTCTTTAATTTCAAATTATAAGTATTAATTTTAATTTTAATACTTATGCAAGTAATATATAATTTTTTAAAAAATAATTTATTTGTTATTATAAAAATTGAACCTTGATACTAGATCTTAACAAATAAATTATTGTAGTTATATATTATTTCATTATAAATTTAATATTTATTATATTAAAATTTGCTATTTATTATTATTTTTTATATTACTATCTATAAACATTTAATAATTTGAGATTGTATTATATATTCTGTTAAATAACAACTGTTACTATTTACTGTATATTGCTATTTGTCAATTGAAAATGACAAAAAAGTATATAATCTCAGCTTACTTAATGAAAATATAAAAAAAATATTAAAAAATCAAAATTATATTGTTTTATTTTAAAAAAAATCCTTTTATCCAACTAAAGATTGATTGTATAAATATAATTTATTATATACAGTAAATAATTTATAAAAATTTTTTTATCTACCGTAATATTCAGTATATTGATTTTAACAATATAAATTTATTTTTGAATGTTTTCGAAAGTTAAATTTTTGAAATTCCTATTTATTATAAACAAAAAAAATAAATAGGATTATTTAAATGCCTCTTTGATATTTATATACTGTATGTTTCAAAATATATTTACAGTATATTATATATTTTTGAATTCTAGCTTAAAAAATTTTAACTCTTCCGGTATATATGTTTTCCATTGAATCAAAAAGATATACAGGATTTTTATGGTAAAACCTGGTCATTGATTTTCATTTTAATGAACGATCATTAATTCTTAAATGTGATCCAATCATTTAGTTTAATGTCACATTCATTATCAATGAAAAAATAATCGTTTTCTTACGTAATAAGGTAATATAGATTCCATGTGTTTGTACGTAATGCGCGTGTAAAATCACATGACGATAACTCGGTGATATTGGTTTTCATTATTCAGCATCTGGAACACGAGATAGCACCTGAACTGACAATTGAACTAAACAAATTTGTGACATGATCTTGCATATTTTACGTCCGATTGCCGATGCTCGCATGACGCAAGTTAGCTGATGAATCAGCCCATTTTAGACGGTAAACCATGCGTTGCAAAAACCCGAATATGAATAATGTTCGGGTAATTGAAGAGGTAATCTTAGAACAAACCATTTGTAAAAATCAGTTAGAATGATCTTTACGGAATATTAAGTGCGATATTATCTGATGATGCTCAAGGGACAGTGACACACGTATGCATATAATTTTTTGCTTTGGAATTTCAGAATTCTAGCATCGATTAATCGGCGAAGCATCATATGTCATAAACTGATGCGAAGTGTTATATGGTAAGATTTTGAAATACTACAGTACATACTTGTATGTCCTCGAGGAGAGCAACCCCATAATCGATTCGAACATAGAAATCAGGTATTACAGTACTATGGATATAAGAAACTATTTTTTAAAACGTTAGAAAACATTCTGTCATCAGAAAAAATGATGCAATATGTACAAATGACATGTATGGACCAAGGTACAACACACATGGTTCGGACGTGCAAAATTATCTGAGATCTTCAGAGAAATGTTTCGGAGTTTTTTGCACATATTAAGTTAAAGTACGTAACGAACTAGTACATATGTAGCACTGTACTAGTCAGAAAAAAGCATGTGCATTAATGCATGAAGACAAATTAGGAATGTAATCTGCGAGACAATTGTTGAAAAAAGGGGGAAATGAACGTCACAGTAAGGTGTGGTTATAATCAAAGCCTTGTACTATAAGAGCACCAGTAATGAATGCCTAGGCAATTTATTTGTTGTACACAATAAACCATGTAAACGAATTCAAAAAAGAATGTAATCCTCCTCGGGCTAGGTCAATCTTCTTTATTTTTATCTTTATTTTCTTCAAGAAAAAAAAATCTTTTCTATCATATAGTTCTCATAAAAAACGCATTCAACCTATTTGAACTTAATGTTGAAAATCTTTCTATATTCTTTTGAAGATTATTTCGGAGACAATAATAAACACACAATAAATACCAAGACTTACTCCTTTGTAGATTTTTCGTAAAATATTTTAGAGCGTAGCGGTATTTTCCTCCAATAAAAAAAAATTTACATAAACTCATAATGACATACCCATCATCCCATTATCGTTCAAACTCAAGTTTTTCTAGTGAGCTTGGATATAGAACCAGTGCGACAAGCGTATTATCGTCAACTGCATCGACGGCGTCGACGGCATATACTCAGGTAAATCCTTCAGAGAAATCTTTGAATCATTTGAAATCAACTTTGATCACGTGAAACATACAACAAATCTTTTAAAACTCTTTCATTCAATTTTTCCTGTTTATTTCAGTTTACCTTACCTATAGCTTCGCAATACTCTTCGTACTCATATACAAGAAAGATGTCTGGAGAAGTTGAAGAAGATGAATATCAAGTAGAACATGTGGACATGCAAGCAAATTGGTATCGAAAATATTTTTTTGGAAAAGGTAACGGAGGTTTTTTTTTTTTCTGTCATTCTCTTTGGAAATAGATAATATGATGACGAACGCTCCCGCTTTATCCCGAAGATCATCCAACATTCATAGGAATCATCGAGCCACATGGACCGTTAATAATCTCAATAATATTAGATTCAATAACAATCAAGTCTAACCTCGAAGGTATCGCTTGGTATAGATACATTGTGCGAAGGAAAGAGGTAGCTGCCAAGATATAAATTCTCTCTCTCCAAGATGAAATTAAGTTTATCCAACTAATATATCATATCATCTTCACTATTATAGCGGCCTGATGAGAGGGGCACTTTGGCCGGTTCATCCGTGTCTCCATTTGGAGAACCTATATGGGATAGCCTACTAAGAATGATTAATAAAGATTTTTCTTGTAAGCAGTTGACAAAATTCATAACTACACCGGAATTAAGCGAAGAACTTCTGAATTTAGATGAATCAAGAGTAAGTGGTCGATCACTTCTTGAATAATATGCATTGCGTGATCGATTCATTTTATTTCTTTACAGTTTCAGAAATCTTATAAAGTTGGAGTCTTGTATTGTGCCCCATCACAGAGAACGGAAGAAGAATGGTTCTCCAACACAAAGACATCATACGAATATGATCATTTCTTAGAAATATTAGGGAAAAAAATTAGGTTACAAGGATGGGATGGATTTAAAGGTGGACTAGACACAAAGACCGGTGAAACTGGTGAATACTCGGTTTACGACAGTGGAACGTGGAATGATTTTGAGATCATGTATCATGTGAGCACGATGCTTCCTTACGGAAAGGACAAGCATCAAGTCACCAGGAAAAAGCATATAGGGAATGGTATGTTATCTTTACTCTCGTCTTTTTCTCAGATCCGGATTATGTTGTTGAGTTTCTGACAATGAACACGTTCATTCAAAATTCCATACTAGATATCGTGTGTATAATATTTCAAGACGTTCCGCTACCATTTTCCCCATCTTCCATACGTTCGCAATTTTTACATGTATTCTTGGTAGTTAGTCCCATGCAAACAATTGATGGAAGTAAAGCATATATGTATGTGATCAATTTTTTTTTCTGATGCTTTTGATGAATAAATGATTTTAATCTTCTTTTGCTTATTGAAGTGTGGACATCGTTTACAAGAATGGAGTTCCAAATTTTGGCCCGATGCTACCTAATCCTCCAGTCTTTTATAATATGAAGTCTTTAAAAAAATTTTTGGTGGCTGCAGGTAACTTGCCCTTCACGTCAAGGAATATCTTGGAATTCAACGTGGTTGCCATTAATGGATCTTTCAATTTTGGTTTTAGTAATAAATGGTCAGAATGCTGCATGGAAAACTCCGAAACTAAACGATCCATTCATTCGAGCTCGCAACGGACGAATTGACGACTTGACCAAAAAATATGCCCCCATAATACTTGCCCCATTGACATCTTGTCCTCAGTCTCCCAAGAAAATATCCCAAGAGGAACTTGACACTGCATTAAGGCGTCTGTTTACCAGGGAAATAAGAACTGACGGATCGCCTCCGGACATAATGCAGGTAAAATCATTGCTTGACCAAGGAGCAAATCCCAATATAAAAATCTCAAGATCAAGACGATCTCGCGATCAATATATAAGTGACCTTATGACTCAAGACACAACTATTGGTTGCGGCAAGTTGCCAAATATTTTATTCGCTACTATACTACTAAGCGATGATCCGGTATACGTGAAATTATTAATTAACTACGGATGTGAGACGATGCCGAGAGACAAATATTATCCAAATGCGTTTGTGTTCGCTGCCAGGTAACTAAAATTTGTCTTTGATTTATACTTTACTTTTTCTTTTTTTTTCGTATGTCAAACCTTGCTTTTCATCTTTCTACATACACCAGACATCAACGTGTCGAAACAATGAGGTGCTTGTTAGAGAATGTACCCGCACTAAGCGATCCTCAAAGCGTTGATGCTGCAATAAATGAACGATTTCAAGGAGGTTGTGGATCACATTTAAGAGAAAGATCCTATGGCACGAAAATATGGTACGGAATAGCAGGCGAAATGAAAAAGTTGAAAAAACAAATAATGCACGGCTAACATTCCAAATGCAAATAATCGGGTTGAGACCTGGAATTTTTTTTTGTTACACCTTTTACTTTCTCCCTAACGGGTTCTTTAATTTGTAATTAATAGTTGTATGATATTTTTTTCTTTAAAACCAATTCTTCATTCAACAAACATACTACAATTTTATACATTATCGCATTGTATTTTTAATAACGTGAATATTACAATTAATTTTTTTTTTCTTTCTGTGTATATACCCTATAATTCTATGCATATTCTTTCGCACTTAATCTATAAAATATCGATCGATCATTTAAAGAATTTCTTCAATGTCCATTATTATTACTACTACTACTCTAACAACACCCCTTCTCCCCATGGCTCGAGGAATCTGATTTTAGATTAAACTCGTTTAAAATAAAAACGCTAATGTTTTTAATATACCAATACTTTAATAATTATTATCTGTTATTGACATAATAAACAAGATAACGAATTAACTCTTTTGAATGGACGTGTTAATGATTTTTTTTAATTTGACTTAATAGAAAGTATATCTAAATAAATTTGTTTTAATAGGTTAAATATTAATTTAGAAGGGTTTTATTTATTAGTACAACCTTTTTTTATTTTTTAGAACTGTAAATTTATATTTAAATCATAGTATAGAATATAACCTGGCAATAATTTTTTATATTAAAGAATAAAATACTGTTATGTTATTTTTTTTAAAAAAAATAACTTTTGGATTTTTTATAATAACATTCAAATAGTTATAAAAAATTTGAATGGTTTTAAATAATTAATATTATGAGGTAATAAATCAACAAATTCATTTTTTATAGTGAAATAATTAATAAATAGCTAACTTGTGGATAATATGATAATCTTTATATTAAGAATTCGAAATTATATATAAATTTATAAATATATTGATAGGTATTTTATTATTTAAAAAAATATTCAGCTTACTTATAATTATATGATATAATTGTTATTGTTTTTTGATCAAAAATTTATCAATATATTAATGTGGAAATTTTTTCTTTTAAACAGGTGGCTTACACCTTGTTTATTAGATTTAATAGGATGGGTATATACAAATTTGTTTTATACAAATTTACCCCTCTGTCTATCTAATTAAACTCACTAAGAAGCTAGTTCTACCATGTGACTTATTGCAAAGTACTGGCATATACTTGACTAATTTATTAAGGCTCTATCTGTCTTTAAAAAGTTAATTATATATATATATATTGTGTTTCAATTCAGCCAATGTTGCATGGCATATTTGAGGAGTGAGTTAATTTCTGGAATATAGGTTTTGACTTTTTTATATATTTTTTTATTGGTTTTCCAAAGTCTTTTGTTTTTTCTTTCAATGTTGTTTGCTTTTTTCTATTCTATGAAACTGATGCATCTGGTGTATCATCTGTTTTGAAGTTTGTTTAATAGTCAATAATGTATTGCTTTAATGGTTTCTTTGTATGAGCTAGGTTGAGTGTGTTTTTTAATTGTATTTATTATGTCATTTGTTAATGCTCCTCTCGTTATATAGTTTTTAATTTCTGGTATTCATATTTGTTATTGTTTATTGATTTCCATAATTAGCTTATAGCTGATTTTCTTGTCTGTTCTACTGCTTACTTCTTTGTTAATGATTTGTAATAGTTTTATAAAAAGACCTTCTTTATGTTATTTGTATATTATAATATGTATGTTGGTTTCAATTTGTTTACAATAGATACATTGGTTGTTAGTATATATTTTTGTAGTTCTTTTGTATAGGTTGTCTTTAAAGAGTAGTTCTAAGTTTCAAAGTTTTAGTCTAAATAATCTAGTATTGTAATCATTTTGGTTTGTGCTTCTTGTTATAAGTTTTAATAAGTATTTGTTGATTAGAGATTCTTTCCATATGATATTGTTTTTTGTGTTTTCATTTGTTATTATTAAATTTTGGTTAAGTATTCTCCAACTGAGAATATATTTGATTTTTATGAGATTTTTGATTATGTTTGTAATTGTATCATCCAATATTTGTCTATTTTATTTCTGTGACTATTTTGTTTTATTGTTTAGAATCAGTTTAATTTTGATTTTGGGGATAGCGTAACCTATTATGACTTTTTTTGCAAGATAATCTGCATGGTTGTTTTCTGGATAGTTGCTATATACTTTAATTTTATCAGGGTGATGTTAAGTTTTTGTTGTTCTATAATATAAATAATAATATTGATTAAGTTGTTGTTTTTGAGCATTCTAAGTGTTTGATGAATAGAATAACATAATTATGTTATTTTTACTTAGTCTAGGTTATGTATGTGGCCTATATTATAATTCTAACCATATTTGAAAGTGGTTGATTTATAATTTTAACCATATTTGAAAGTAATCGATCTCATAATTTTGATCATATTTGAAAGTAATTGATCTCATAATTTTGGCCACATTAGAAAATAGTTAATTTCATAATTTTGACCATATGCTATCACATATATTATATACATACTATCTGGTTATTCTATATATATGATATTTGATTATGTTATTAATTAATGCTACCAAATATGTATACTAGTATATCATGAAAAAATGCTATCAATAATATTATCATGTATATAATATCAGACTATGCTATCAGGTTGGCTTTATCATGAGTTTAATGACTTGATTATAATTATATCATTATTTGTGGAGGCAAATATATCATATGGATACTATTGGATATGTTATTAACATATATACACAATTGCTATTAATATATACATTATAAATGTTATTAGGGAATACTACCAAATATGTATGTTGATTTCAATTGCTAGAATTTTTGTCCCTAGCTGGCTCTAGTAGCAAGATATATGTTTGACTATAGGTTATATTCTATATTTTCTATTTTAGAATGTGATTAAAATTATGATTCTAAAAATTAGAATCGAACAGAATTACAGGAAATCACATAAGATTTGAAACATTATTAAAAATGATGGTAGGATATACCTCACCTATTAAATTTAATATAAACTTGAGAATCGAATACAGAATCAAAGAGAGTCATTAAGATTCTTAGTTAAAATAGATCTGTTTGTGTCTTAAGAAAAAATCCGTCCTGGTTTTGTTCTAATAAAAAAAAAGTTAACCGAAATAGATCTGACATATTTTATTCTTGTTCCTTTATATTTATTATATATCTATTCCAGTTGTTCTAGTAAAAAGTAATAATTTAGAAAAAATAAAATTTATCTATTCATGATATATTTATACTATACATAATGTTATATAAATATGATATATATATGTATATGCTATATACAGTGCTGATCAAAAAAAACCGGAATTTATTTTTTTTTATTGCGCGATGACGGTCACATGGAATCACGTGAAACTTCGACTAACTAAAGTTTATGATTGATATTTTTAATTAAAAAAATTTAGTA